TCCTTTGGCTGTTTTTAGATTCCAATTTCACCGTACATCCAGTTTTTTGGCGCACGTTCATATTGTTAAAAAAGTTTTAAAAAAAAGAAGAAAAAAAACTCTTGATTCACTTCACTGCCTTCACTTGACAAAAAAAAAATGCACATATTGAAAACAGAACACAGCCTCGCAGCTCAGGAATACGTTGTGTTGCTCAGCAGAAGAAAAAGCCAAAAAAAAAAAAGAAAATGAACTATTTTACAGAATATGTGACTTTATTTTCTCTACGTCATATTTCTATTTTATTATGGCTTTCTTTGGCAGTCCCCTGATGAATGTATCCTGTTGAGGGTTTTTTTTTCCTTGGCTCCCCGCTCTGAATAGTTTCATGTTTCATGTCTCCTGTCATCTGTTGAAAAATGGACACCGTTAAACTGGAATCACAGAAGAATCCATGCTGTACATTTGTGTTTCTGCCGCAGATGTTGTGATGGTCTAGTTCATCTCTTTAACTTTGTTTTCCTCCCTTCCTCCCTTCCTTCCTTCCTTCCTCCCTTCCTTCCTTCCTTCCTTCCCTGTCTCCTGCCAGTCCTGTCATATATCGTTCCATACTGTAACCCTCCATATTTGAGCTTCGTTCCACTTGTAGGCAGTGTATTTTTGACCATGTAGATGGCGCTGTGTGCAGTTTGTTGTTCGTATATACCATTTTTTGTGGTTTCGGGTTTAACCCCTGGAGCTTTTTTTTTTTCCTAGACGAACGGCTGTTTAGTTGCAGAGAAGAAAATCCTTTTTTTTTTTAAGTGATTTGAACTGGACCTGTACAAGTAAAGAAGATTTTGATGTCACTACAAAATAAATGTTGTTACTTTTTCAAATGTGTTGTCACCGATACGGCACTGACCGGAATTTTACACTGGAGAGGTTGGAAACAAGTCACCAGCTACAGTTCCAGGCCTGTCCAATGTCTGGGTCAAGGCCATGTCACGCTAATGTGGGCCAACCCTTGTTGGTACTGTCCTGCTTTGATCTGGCCCAGACCAGATAGATGTGTGTATACATGGAAACAAATATCCACCTTGTTTGCCAAATATGTGGTGCGGGTGTCTGTATGTCGGACCAGTTCCATTTCTTTCAGGCTACACATTAGGCTCCTACGTATGTAGCAATGCTAAGCCAGGCTTATGGTCCACATCTGGCCAACAGGTGCTGATCTTTACGTAGGCCGAATAAAAGGTGGAATAAGGGTTGGATTTATCTTTTTTTTAAAAAAAGATTTTAGCTGTTTGTGAATAATGGCACACACATCAAGTTAAAAAAAGATTTTAAAAAAAGTGTTCCTTAATTAAAATGGACTTGAACCATGCTTGTAATTTTTCAGTTTTAGACTAAATTGCTTCTTATAAAATACCTATTTTTATTATAATTTATATTATTATTATTAAGGCTGAAAAAGAGTTATTGTGTTCTGTATAAAAAATCCGGTACTTTAAAACTAACTGATAATAAAAAAATAAAAATGTAATATTTATAAAAAATAATAATAACGCCAGAACGCACTAAGTGTAACGCCTGATTATATTTAAAAAACAAAACAAAACACTAACTGTAACGCCAGACGCTTTTTAAAAAAGCTCGTGCTTGCCACCTACTGGACAAAAATATTTTGTGTTCGTGTCTACTAGTGGCATTTGCCACCTTGTATATAAACACTATTGAAACAAATGCTAAAGTCGATACTTTTTTTTCGATCTTCATTTTGCAATTCACCTTTCTTTAGTGTTTTTTGTTTGTTTGATTGTTTTTTGTGGTTTTCTAGATAAGTGTAGGGCTGTTTGGTTTAGTATTAATAGATGTTTTTTTTGCTTGCCTGCTAACAGCAAAATGTCATATTTTCTACTGTCCTCTTGACTAGAGATCAGTTTTTAGGTAAAGTGAAAAGCATTTCCTTCAGGTCAGTATATGTAACTGTACGATAGTGAGTGTGTCAAACATCTGGGTTCGACTCAGATCCGGTGTGTGTGGTGTCTAGTCTGTGTTTTTCTATCCTTTGGGGGACATTTTTTTGTAGACACGTTTGCTTTTGTCCCTGTGTTGTGTGTGTTTGTATCTGAGCTCACCTTAAGCCTACCGTAAATGTGATTCACCAGCAGGTGTCTTGTCAGGAAACAGTGATAAGAAAATCTAATTTGTATGAATTTGCATGAATTACAACCTGGAAAAAAAAACATCAGTCAATTTAAAAAAAGCAAGTTTTTATTGACAGAAATCCTTCTGGGAAATGAATTATCAGTGTTTGTTACAGAGGTCAGAGCGTTTTTATTTCATTTCTGATACTCTGTGTGTGGCATGTCAACAGCTGGGAATTGACCACCGCTGTAGGTCGGTGGCTGGTTGGTGCATGGAAACTGAAATGAGTTTCTCACAGTGTGTCATATTTGTAGCGATAGTGAGATCTGTAATTTACCTCTGAAGTGAAATTAGACTCACACAAAGGCAGCTTGATGCAGCAGTGGATTAGTTCATCAGAAACAGGCCTCGTATCGATGTTTGCAGTTGATGCTATTTAACAGAACGATTTGTCAATGGAATGACAAGAAAAATTGAAGAAAAGTCGACGTTATATCAGAGAGAAGAGTTCCAATACAAACTCTCATTTCCATATCAGTATATCGGTGTTTCTTAACCACAGGACCGTGGCTGAAACTTGGGTCGTCAGCGCCACCTAGAGGCCCACAAAAAACCTTCAGTTTTGCAACTGTGGGCCACGAGGGCCACTGGACTAGACAAGTTATCAACTGAAGACATCAGAGGTATGTTAGCCAGGAGAAGCTCAGTTAGCTAATGATCACATGGTGGCAGTAATGCATCAGTTATTTAATAAGCTGCGTATTCTCTGTAAGACAGTCTTCTTCTCTATGATAGCTGTAGCAAAACTATGGAGTGTTTAAGAGTTTAAATTGGGGGGCGGGGGGGGGGGACTCGAGTGTTAGAACATTTGACTTAAACTCAATACAAGGTAAAAGTTAAAATTGAATTTAAGTCTATGAAATACTGAATAAAGTAAATTAATTAAGGTAAATGCTCCTGATTTGTTCCTTTTTGGTCTTCGATTCCTATAAAAATTCAAATTGAAAAAAACACACAGTATACATAGGGTCTGGAATTCCTGGTGCCTAATTTATTCATGCAAAGCTTTGAAAATACTACACTTAATTAAACTCCCAGAATTCCTGTAAAGATCGATGTATTGTTGTATGTTTGTTTGTTTTTCCTTTTAAAGAGGGCAGTTTTGATAGTGTAAAGAGTGTAATAAAAGCACAGCATAATATATGCTACATCATCATTTTAACAACATTTAATAATTGTAAAACATAAATAATCAACAATGTTAACAATAATAGTTCATATTTAGTGACGAGTAGGAAAAACAATTGTCTCTGTCGCTGGATTCATGTCATTGCTGTTATTTTGAATGGTCTATTTTGTCTATATTTTACATCATTTACGCTATATCACCACCAGGTGTCAGTAAGGTCTAAGGGCTGAGGCTGACACGAGCACGGAAATGAGGACAGAAAAAAAAAATAACAACAAAGTAGCAGGTATGACGAACTCGTGAATAAAAATAAATATGGCAGATGTGTGTCGTTGTTGTGTTAAGTAGAACGCCTGTCGTGAACTATCTCCCAAGTATATATATATATATAAACACAATATCGTCATTTTATCGACCCAGTTACAACACACGAATTACTTTGCTACGCCAGCGTCTTTTGGTGAGTTCAAATAGAAAGAATTCAAACATAACCGTCATTTAACAGGACATTCGAACCAGGACAGTCATTTATTTTCACGTATATAGAAATATTTACTATGTTACAACCCACGGATATGTTTTTCTGTATTTATGTTTGTATTGTTTTCTGTATTGGTTTCAGGTGTGTGATTAAGGCTATTGAGCACTTAACAGATACATGTGTATGGAGTGACCTGATTGGTTCTCTGCTGAGGGAGCGCTGCTTGAACTACACTCAGCCAAACTGCAGGTAATTGTGTCTGCTGTCTGTTTGTTTTCTTTGGTAAAATCAATAGTAAAGTTCCAGTTTCCTGTGGACCTGGAAAGGGGTTCCCAACCACTGGGCCGCTTAACCAGCATGGCTTCTCTCGCTGCCTAACGCGTACAATTAGCGCAATTAAACACTATTCCAGCTATGATGGATGTTAGCATCTGGTCCTGGTCCATTAGGAAAGACAGAAGACAAGAGTGAAGAGAGGGACAAGAAGAACTGTAGTGGATCAGATGAGTTTCACACACTAAAATGAATGCTAAACGTTTAGTGTAATTACACACACACACACAGTCGTTTCTCATATTAATTAATAGAGCACAGAAAACCCACACCTCCCCCACATTCAAACACTATCGTAGCTATGGCATCGAAACAACAGTTAAATGCAGGGTTTCTGTTTCGGTCAAACTTCATGATCACATTTCCAAGAAAGGAAGTTCGGTGGCAAAGCTCAGGAAAACACACCCTTTGCTCCGCAGCAGGAACTTCCTGTGTGTGTATATATGTATATATATATATATAATAATTCACACACTGCTGGGACATGAGTTGTGTGCAGCTTCATTGTCTTCTCACGGTCTACGGTTTAAACCACAAAGACGACTGTTGATGCAAAGAGTGTGAAAAACAACAACACGCGGCCTCGGACAAAATGATCGTTGTTAGTTTTGAGGCAGGTGGCCTTGGTCTTCTCGTGGCCCGCAGCCAAATGGGAATTGATGAGCGGATCAATATCAAGCTGACTTTAATACAACACCACAGTGTGTGTGTCTGTGTGTGGGGTGGAGGCATGATTCTGTTTGTGAGATTCTTGTTTTTTTGGTACAGTGTGGACATCTAATATGTAAATAATAATAACCTGAAAAGAAGTGAATTGCACATTATTTATTATTTTACTGTAATATTGTGATTTTATTTTGTATGTTTTGACTCTTTTTCATTGTCAGACAATCACAAGGTGAAAATGGAACCGAGGAACCGATCACATTCACGTTTACAGGTAAATTAGTCTCCAGTCAAAAATATGTTCTGTACATGTTTGGACTGGGAAACATAACAGATGAGTTCTTCTTCTTTTGTGTTAGTATTATTGTGTAAAGCTATGTTGGTGGTCGGATGAATGGATGAATTTGTGAACCATTTACGGGGGCTCCCTGACTTGCGTTCGAATTCTGTTCCTACTGAATTAGATATCAACTTATACCGATACAGGCCTGGTAATATTTATTTATTTATTTATTTATCTGTACAAACCCCTGTATGAGTATGAGTAATATACAACCGTTTGTCCCCCAAAACTATTTTTAGGGCACACATCCTTTGGCGAAAGCCAGGTATTGCGATATCGGGTTTTCATTATCTGAGAAAAAAAACGATAACGATTCTTACAGGTATTACATAATTATGCTAATATTAAGCCAATAATATCAGTGTATGTTACTATACTACCACATCGAGTATTGTTTTTATTGATGCTTTAAGATTGCATCCTGCAACAATCTCCATTACAGAACGCTCCTGATACAACACAGATCAGCTGCGGCACTAAGTGTTTAACAGTTTCCCGTACCTGTAGCTATCGGAGATCCTTTTAACAGAGCCGTGTCCTCGTGTCACGGCCTTGTATGAACTTCCACCTCTTTGATCCACATGAAGCTGATGTTTGCCTCCGGAAGCCGCTTGTGTGAAGCTACTTATTATAAAACTAGAGACAGCTGCGCCGAATGATGAGGCTTTTAACGGCACAGCCTTTGCTAAATTATTTCTAAGAATGCATAAAACATGACATAGGGAGATCATATGAGGATGAGGAGCTGGAGGAGGGGGTGGGGGGGGGCATCATCTGTACAGCCTCTCCTTTCTGGAGATCTGCTGTTTACCCTCCTCTACTCCACTCACCCTGACAACTCCCCACCCTCTGTTATAGCAAACACAGAATCTCACCCATCCCTCAACCCCCCCCCCCCCCCCCCCCCCCCCCCACCCCCCCCCCCCCCCCCCCCCACCTCAAGGCCGAGCGACCTTGAGGTGTAACCGTCCTCCGACAGCCCTCGCACGCTTTCCCATTCATAAGATGGAGTGTGATTAGAGAGGCTGTGTTTTGTCTGCGGATTAAAGCACTTATCATCACCAAGGTCTGTGGACACATGCGGGCAGAAACGCCAGCACTCTTGAATGGAACTTTTAACGTTTGCAGACTGTCCCACGCTGTGACTTAACATACCGAGTGACGATTTAGCTCTCTGATAATCAACTGGTGGCCCGCAGGCCCAATCTCGCCCGCCAAACCATCCAATCCGGCCAGCGACTGGATTTCCAAAATAAACATCAAAGAATACTGTTAGACGAAAATTTTTTTTTTTTTTTGTTCCTTTTTATTCGTGTCCGGCCCCCAAGGCAGGGAGGAGTCCAGAAAAAATATGGCCCTCCGACATATACAGTTGATGACCCCTGATTTATACATATATACTTGCTCCTTTGACACAGAGGACATATTTAACTACATGCATTAGACAACTTTGGTCTTGTTTATATTTGTCTGTATATTGCACGATGACAGTACAAAAACAATAGTATCCTTTTCGTTTTCCATTCTAAAAAGCCAACCTTCAACAATGTCCTACAAATTCGCTGTGATTTGATGTCGCCCCTCCTTCGGCGTCTCCAGTAAATACTGTTCCATTATCCCAGCTCATTGGACACATAACTCGGTCTGACTCCGAGAGGTACGCCCTCCATCTAGAAAGCCCCAGATTTATGGAGTGTGAGGTGGCGCTAAGGTTGGACTTAATGAAACAGGAGTGTCCAGACTGTTTCAAGGTGGGAAGTTCAATAATGTAAATTTAACTGACCGTCCGCTACCTCACAGTGACTCCAAAAACCCAGCAGGGTTAGTGTTTTGCATTTAAGCTAAAAAACGATTAACATTTTTTTAAAAAATGATTAATCTCAAGAAACTCTGCATGGACTTTATTAAAGTTCCAGCCGGCCGTACAAAATGACTTGGCGGGCCACATTTGGCCCCCAGGCCTAGAGTTTGACACATGGATTAGCATCACTACACTGCTTTTTTATGCTTATTTTTTATGTTATCTAACATGTTATCAAGAATAGGTAAAAAAAAAAAAGATATGCTGAGTGGGGATTAGGCCGCCGCAGTAAACCGGAGTTCTGCCCTGCTATCATTTAATGATTACGTGGTTAAATGTGTCTGCCTTTATTTATCTACTCTGGCTGATTGCTGCACTGCCACCTCTGTGGAAATATATTCACCAATCTCCATCGCTGGTTCCACTGCTGGTTGATGCAAATGTTCCAATCAGCAGCTCGCTGCAGTTTAGGCTGTAAAACTCTCTCTACAGTAACTGAACAGAAGTCACGGAAACAAATAACTGAGATGCTGGAGTTTGAACAGAGAGATGATAGAAAGGCAACGATGACTACAGCAAAAACCAAGATGGACGACAGCAGCAGAGGTCACTCTATTGTGTAGGAGGACGTTCAACAAGGAGAATTAATTTAAATGGATTTTCTTTAAGTGTCTTAATATCGGAATCGCACCGACGACTTGATTACCTTAGTTCAATGAGCAGTTTCTTCGGAATCAACGACTGTTGACGTGGGCTGCAACAAATAGTTCCAGGAACGTGGGCAAACTTTTTGACCCGCGGGCCACAATTGTCCTAAAATTTGACAGGTGGGCCGGGTCAGGAGTTTGTGCGAACTAAGATAAATGACATGTAAAAGTCATGCATAAAGGTTAAAATGCTAAAATGCATTTATCATTTTCTACATCATCTATTGAGGAAACGTGGGTATTGCAGGGAAAAAGCAGAAGTATGAATAAATTATATAATTTGGAAAAGTTTGGCTGGCCGGATTAAAAAGCTGAACGGGCCGCATCCGGCCCCCGGGCCTTAGTTTGCCCATGCCTAGTCTATACCCAGCTCTCTTCTTGTTTGAGTTTGGAGTAAATTAGCGATCAACGAACAGTTTTACGCAAAACCGTTGTACTGTACCAATACCCAAACTTTGGGGAACTGTTTATAGAACTGTTTTACGCGTGACCGCGATCCTTAAATGATTAGATGTGACTATGGGCTCACTGCGTCTGCGCCCACCTAGTCTTCAAATTGTCCCGCGGATGTGTGTGTGTGTGTGTGTGTGTGTGTGTGAGAGAGAGAGAGAGAGAGAGAGAAAGTGAAGCTTCGCTCTGCTCCAGTTTCAAAGCGCTGCAAAAGTGCTGAGGACGCGAGGCGATGCTCTGAGCTCAGAGCCGCAGAGGTGGAGGTGAAGCCAGCAGATTTTTGTGGACACGCAGGAGTTGAGCTGCGAAAGCTGCTGTTAAATCTACATTTACATTTACTCTTGTTTTTTGCTCTCCCCCCTCCCTCTCTCTCTCTCTCTCTCTCTCTGTCTTCCTCCTGGAGCACCCGCCTCCAAAGAGCTCTGGAGGAGAGCGAGGCGTGTGGAGTCACTCCACCGTCTGCTCGCTTCACCAGGACGGATCAGCGTGACCCTCCGCTGCCCTGCCCCACACGCTCCCGTGCGCTCCGGTGATGGAGACGCAGCGGTGATCGGGGAAGAAGAAGCAAGTCGAGACGCACTGGACGCCGCTTGGTGTTTAAAGAAAAAAATGGGCAGTTGTTCAGCTTTGCTCTAACACCGGCGCGTCATGGCAGGGATACACACTTCAGATGCTTTGTCGGGACATTTTTTAGACCCTGCTGTCGGCGCCCCGGCAGCTCAGGGCGCGACCAATCTTCCGGGAATTACCGGCGACGCGGCGCCACTTGTCCCCGGTGGCACCCGGGCGTACTTGGAGGTGTCCTCCGCCGTCCAGGGCTACGGAGCCGACAGAGTTTACACCAATGGACGGTACAGGGAGCAGGGCAGTCCAAGGATCGGGAGTGGCAGCCGCGATCACTCCGCCGAGAGGAGTCAAGGAGCTGGAAACACACCTTGCGGCATCATGAAGGTAGGAGCCACTTAATTATTGTCCTTGTGCATGATTCTCAAGGTGACACGTGTGGAATTAATTCAGCCGCACAACACAGTTCAACATGAGGGAGCTGGTGGAGGTCGAGAGTTTCTCCACAGAAACCTATAAAAAATATCATCCAAATGAGACATCACTCTCTCTGTGTATTAACAAACCGCACAAAAATGTATCTAATAGTTAGAGAAACAAACTATACATTCCAAGGCAGTTTTATAAAGGTCTCCCAGGGTCACACATGCTTTTGCAGCCCACACACTGAAGAACATCTCCATCGCTCCTGCTGCAGTATCCATCAGTGAGTAGATATTCCCTGAACTCAATAGGGCTTCCATTACAATCTGGAGATAATACAGCACTCACCCCATGGCTGCTGCAATAGAATATCCAGTACAGAACATCAGCAGCAGACAGAATCAGAGGGCCGAGCTTCACTTTCCATATTTAGGCTGCAAATCACAGCTGTGGAAGTCCACCATAGGAAGTGGTCTGATGATGAGAGACGCAACTCTGCAAGTCCAGGGGGAAAAGTAAAGACCTTTCATCACTTTACAGCATTAATTACAGCCGCAGACAGCACACCGCCATGAAGGAAAAAAAAAAAAAAAAAAACACTTGAAAAAGACCAACAGGACGTTGGCGAGGTTAGGAGGGATTGTCCCGATAACCAGCGTTTACAAACAGTTATAGGTACAAGGGCTTAAATGTGTGTATATAGGCTAATGCTAGTACCGTCACTGATACTTTTTTAGAGTATATTTTTAAAGCGTATTCAAAATATGCAAAGGGCTGAAAGGCGGTGTTACGTATGTGGCCCACTCTGTGGGAAATGGGTTGACATGCAGTTTTTTTCACCCAGGAGTTTCTAAAGTATAAAGAAAAAAAAAACTACATTCAAACTGACAGTTACAGTATGTTAATCTAAGGATAAAATAAATTAAAAATAATATTTCTTTCCACACAGTTAGCACAGCCAGCTGAAGTGAAAGGGAACAGAGCATTTCCACTTGAAACGCTCAAGAGTCACTTCAACTGTGCAGCTCCATTTTCATGATTTAATAAACAAATTAACACACACACACACACACATTCACACACACAATGTTGCGTCAATAAAATTAACCAAAAGTGAATCGGTGAGGTGTAAACTCCTCTATTGTCTACACTAACACCATGTTGTTAGCACTCCTCTTTTGTCTACACTAACACCATGTTGTTAGCATATTTAGCGTTGTAGCCTGTGTCGTCAGGAGTATCGTTACTTTAATCTTATTCTATGCTGACATTGTTGACCTCCTTAAATAACCTACCTGCAGGGGGCACTGAACTGCTGTAGGTAAACACACCATACTGACTGACCTTTGAGCAGCTGATTGTAGTGGGTCGCTAGATCGGCACACATGTTCCTGCACTGATGGCGTAAAAGCTCTGCTCACTTTCTGTTCAGCTGGCTCAGAAATCTTCAGCAAAATTTTATCTTTAATTTGCATTGATTTCGTAATGACATTTGTATCAAAATCATCCTTAACATTTTATTCAAATTTTTTTTTTGTGTGACCGTAGTGTCAGTTTGAAGACTTAGTTTATTGTCAAAATATTTGTTCCTGTTTGACTCTGTGTTAATCTAACGATAATTCAACTGGATGTCAGTATTTTCCCCACTGTGGAGTGAGTGGAACTCACACCCACACACACACTGCATATCTCCCTCTTTCCTACGTACAGAGCTGTGCCACATACTGTATATATTTACGCCTCACAGTTCACTTAATTTATTCAAAACAAACTTGTTATCGACGAGTACACAAATTTAAACACTCGTATATGTATCAGGTTTTTGTTTTAAACGGTATCAGGACAACTCACATTTGAAAATTGTATCAGGTTTTTGTTTTAAATGGTATCAGGACAACTCACATTTGAAAATGTGACAGTACTGAGGTAGTGTCCTGGCAAAGGCAAAAGAAATTATTATTTACGTTATACGTTTTGTTTAAAAACCTTCAGTGATAAACAGCGTGATTTTAACTCATCTCATTATGGCTTCGTCACATCGTCCTTCATATCCTAATTGATATAAAGCAGTATGACTTAGTCTTCTGACGTTATTGAACACACTGTCGAAGCTTGTTTTGCTGGAATTGCCTTGAGCGCCGTGTGCAGTCTGTTGGCATGAGAGGCTGTTAATGGGGTCCTTGGTGGCAACACAAGTATTACGTAGGTGGGACACTGGAGAGTTGCATGCTGTCCAATCGGACCCAGCCTGCTTAGCAACTGACACAAAACACTGGGCGATTCTTCGTCAAAGTCTTTTATCCAATTCCTGGAAGATGTGGGTAAATGAAACACACGCTCTAACGTGGTTGAATCTCAGCGGTTTCCCCCGCTACGGTCGTGTAATGTATTCATCCTGAAGCCATCACTTTAATATTAACTACCATGTTGTTGTTCCTAAAAGGAGAACTAAAACATCTTTGTATTATCACATCGCTTGAAAAACCTCAAAGATTGTCTCTTGTCTCCACCAAAAGAAACTGTCCACATCTGCCTGACTCATGAGCGAAGCATAACAGAGAGGCCGCAGGGCATTGTGCCTGATTGATAACAAGTCTTCCAAACGCCGCTTTTCAGAACTCCCTGTTCACACAGAAGTCAACCCTGCTGAGCTTTGCTTTTCGAATAGTATGAGCAAATTCCAATGTCGTGTCTCCTTAAATAACCAGCAGCAAAGACTGTGGCTCCGCAAAGAAACTCATCAGTGCATTTGTACCTGAGGCTGTTGGGTTTCCATAGCTAATCTTATTTTACTGGCAGGGAAATGATACTTGGAGTATATTGAGAATGAATGCAAATCAGTCTTGTGTTGCTATTTATATGTCTCCTACACCTTTAGTCTCTTGAGTGATTATATGATTTACACATTTGCCAGTAACAACTACAGTATACTGTAGCCTTTACTAAATGTTGTTCTCTACGGTAAACCAAGGTGTGATTTTTACCAAATTTAGTAACCGTATAAATTACGTGAATGATTTTTCCACTTCATAAAAAAATCATTCAGATTTAGATTCCATGTTTATACACAGATTCCTAGAATCATTCATCCAAGAAAACGTAAAAAAAACCAAACATCCAGGTCCCGGACTGCTGGTTGGGCCACCTCACTGTTGAGGGATGTGCCTCGCTCTGCTGGTCAGCCGGGCTGTTGGACCTGTTCATCCAGGGCAGAGGGCATGTTCTGGCCACAGGTGCAGTCGCCTTCACACCTGTGACAGCTTCCAGAGGTGGTGCTAAAAACTACATGTGAATTTATACTCTTGAATCCCTTAATTCTCCCGCAATATTCAAGAGTTTTCTTGTTCTTTGAGTAGCAACCCACTCTGATTTCCTAAACCTTGTCCTCAGGGCCTCCTGTCTGATTGTGTCATGCTTGGGGAGTCATTCCGACCCTTTCCTTCTGCCTGCAGCTCCAGTTAAAAGAAATGATTCAGCGTAAAACACTGCACCGTCTGTAGATCCCCTTTTTATTCATGCTCCACCTGTTTAAAACCTCACCTCAGCACATTTGTTACACCGTGATGTTTCGGTGCTAGACCTTCATCAGGCATGTGTTCCGTTTGTGTTTCCGGGAACACTCAAGAAAACTCATTTTGTGCCTTATCTCCATCGTCCCTCCCTTCTTTCTGAGTGCGTTAATGCCAGGCAAACTCACTTGACATCAGCCAGTTAGCAAACGTTGCCTTCCTAAGCTAATCCCATGATAGTCTTGTTAGACAGGTTTCACCATTTATCACACTGATATTGTGAGCAGAGTGCTGACACGTTCTTCTAAATGAGATGAAATGTAACCGTAATACTTTCCCGTGTAACTTTTATCAGCACCTGTGAAAAGATTTGTCACATGTTGTAGTGGTTTTGTACGACCTCTAAAAATCAAACCACGTCGAGTCTTTCCTCTGACTTGATTAACGTTGTCGTCACAGTGGTAGACCTGGGTCAGTGTGTGACTGTCTCCAGACTGGCATCCAACTGGATCCCTTTGTTGTGACAGTGTTGTAATGGACAGCCTAAACAGTGGCTGGAGGGGGTTTTGGTCATGCGGTCTTGTTATGTAATGTTGAACCGCAGACAGATGCGAGGCTGGCTCCAGTCTGGCTGCAAGGTGAAGGCGAGGGACAACCAGCTTAACAAGAGACACGGCAAACAGTATTTAAGAAGCCGTTGACGGCTTCACTGAAATGATGCCAGAACGGTTCACGTTGTCACAGGTCACAAACAGTTCAGCTGGTGTTTAGAAGTGAAAAAAGAAAAGGGAAAAAAATGGCTCTACAGTTGTTCACTCTTGTCTGAAACACAAAGCCTTTGTGTTATCCACAACCACTCAGCGCCTAAAGAACATTTAAAAATTCAAAAGAATTTCTATTGTAAGTAATTAGGTTTTAGCCTAGCATTGTTGCTCTTATCATCTCCGAACGTGAATCCAGTCTTTGCGCATCAGTAGGAGAAGAGAGAGCGCTAAACCGAGTGCTTCCTTGAACTGGATAATGGAGTGTACCACTAACTGACATGTAGGTCAGCTGACCTAAACAAATACAATTTGAGGGAAGGAAGTAAATAGAAACAGTATTGCTGCCGTTTGAACGTTCCCATTTATCTTTTCTCCTGTGCCCTGCCCTTAAACGCAGCAACGGATGAAAGTTGAATATTTATTTTTAGAGATCTGCCAGAGAAGTTTGCGATAAAAGTGGTCCAAAAAGCCATCGTCAGGACAGCTGTCGCATTGGCCATTGAGAATAAGTGTCGTCCTGTCATCGGTCCACCTCCACACTGGCCCACTGTGAGTAGCAGGTCATTGATTCATGCCTACATTTCTGAGGTAAATGGGAGCTAAAACGAGCCAGCATGGCCCCCTCATCAGCTGTACAGCTCTCATCGACAGATGAACGGGTGGATCGTGTTGTTGTTTTTTTTTTTTAGAA